ATCTGTTGAGCTGGGAGTAGTCCGCATGAGGCTGAGGTTCTCATATCCAATCCACATGTCCCATGTCTGCAAGCCCGCCCTATCCTGTCTTCCTGTTTGCTTGCTTATATTATAAGCGCTCTGCAGCTCCCAATGAAGTTGAGCTGGACTGATTCTCTGAACGGCTTCCGGAGTGATGTGTCTCTGTCTTGCTTACCCCCATCAGGTGTTGCTGTTTGTTGCCAGCAAACGGACAGTGACATAGCAGCATGCCCACAGTATGTGAGACGAAGCTTTGTCATCCTTGCCTCCAAGGAGCTCTCTGTCTGCGCCTTCTCTAAGACATATCTGTTTATTCTTTTGGTGGTCAATGGGTCAGCACTCTTCTGCATCACCACAATGCAAAGGCATCAATTCTTCTTCTGTAATCCTTATTTATTGTCCAGCTCTCAGCAGCATAGCAAGTGAGTGAGAAGACCATGATCTGAATCAGGCATACCTTAGTCTTTAAACTGACATCATTGCTCTTGAATAATTTGGAGAGGTCTTTGACTACAGACGTTCCTAGTGCAATACGTCTCCTATTGTGCATTTATTCTTAATTTTGTTAGTACTTTAAAAGGGTGGTGCTAAAACTCCAGTTCCTTTCCCTCTGGCTAGTAAGGCAGGAAAATGGAAGTGCCAGGTGGTGTACATGCATTGTGTACTAGATCTTTGTGAAGCCCTCCACCGTATTGCAGTTGATCCTTTGATCTTTCTTCTTAATCATCATTCTTTTACCACATGGATAGCCAGGACTATGTCAGTAAGGTACATAGAATACTAACATAGATTTGTCCATTTTATCATCCTTAAATTGAGCAGGCTCCATGGCAGAAAGCAAGGAGCTTACTACCATTATATAGACATGACCAGAGAGTGTAGTATGTCCTTTGAACCTGGGATTTGTGCACAAACCAGAGAACACACTGTTGGAATGAGACCAAGAGAGGGCCCCCGAGGTGGAAGCAGGTGTAGCAGTGGTAGTGTGGCACCAGCAGCAGAGTGGCAGAGAACCAGGGGCTGGTGTGAGGCAGGGCTGTGGGTTCCTCCTGCTCATAGGCAAAATGAGGACCTTTGGCCACTTGCTGGAGAAGTTGGATCTGCCAACCCATAGAACTACAGCCAAGCACTTCTTAATTGGCAGAATCGGGGTGGCACATAATTAGTGGAACTGAAAGAACATTGTAACACTTGCCTGAGTGGGGCAGAGGCTAAGAGTCCTTTGAGCACCACTGAGGAGAGTCTGTGTGCTTTGAAGATGCCCTGACTATTTTTATATAAATTGTAATCTGTTAACTTTCCTTATAAACCCCAAAATTGTGAGGACTGCCTGTGAGTTTTGTGTGGCAATTGCAACAAATTATTGAACCCAGTAGGGAACCAGGGAGAGCTGTGGGAGGGATGATTGGGGTTGGAATTGGTAAATGGACCCGAGTGTGAGAGTACATCTGACTTCATGGGAATCGATCCTAAGCTGTTGATGCTGTTAATAGGGATTCTTTCTCCTTGGGCAATTAGTGGAGGTTAGACACCACCACCTCCATGCCCACTGTACTGTTTTCACAGCCACTACCAACTCTTCTAGCAAGACAGCAGCTTGAGCTTGTTGTGTCTTGTAGAGATAACAGAGGAGAAGGGCTCTGGCAGCACTGATCCATTTTGTAACAGTTACTGTGTGCTCATTGTATGACAAAAGTTCCATAGGTTGAAAAGAGAATAAAACCCTGCATTTAACAGTTACTATAAAATAAAATTGACACAGAACAGGTAGGGAGAACAGGAAAAAAGTGGATAGATTAATAGACACTGAACTGGAGCAAATGAGGGGAAGGACTCTGAAGGAATGTATATGTATGGCAGTTAACAATCTGGAACAAGAAGTGCATTACAAAGTGATCAGGGAGGGGGAAGGAGAAAAATGTACATCCAGGAATGAATGAAAACCCAGGCATTCTGTAAACATTCATTAAAATCACAGTGAAACAGTGAGGGGGGGGAAATTCCATAGGTTATTGCACTGTTGTATGTATATTAGTTTCCTCTTGCTGCTGTAACAAATGCAGAAAAACCAAGACATTTATATTTTAAAGTTTTGGAAGTCACAAGTCTGAAGTAGATGTTAGCAGTGTTGCATTCCCTCTGATGACTCGGGCGAGGAACCTCTTCCCTTGCTTTATCCAGCATCTTGAAGCCTCCTGCATACTTTGGCTTGTGGTGTCTCCTGTCCTTAAAGCCAGCAGAGTAGTGGTTCCTTGTTTTACTGATCCTGATCATCTTGTCTTCCTCTTATGAGTAGCACTCAGAACAAACTTGAATAATCCAGGATATTCTTTCTCAAGATCTTTAGTCACATCTTCAAAGTCCCTTTTACCATATAAAAGAACACAAGGCAAATAAATGATTAAGGCATTGATATCTGGAAGGAATTACCATTGTTCCATCTACCACAGTATAATATACCAGAAGGTGTGGACACTGCCTTCCCAAGGTTCTTCCTCAGGTTCTCTCTCTTGAAATGCCATCTGTTAGTCAATAACATCCTTTGGGCTGGTCACATTTATACTTCCTATGTGGTAATCTACTTCAGGTGGCAAAAATACTCTGATGGATCCTTTTGTCTCACTCGTTTGATTTGACCACCCATTTCCCATAGAACAGTTGTACAAGAGACAAAAATGGAAGTAATGTGTGAGTAATTTCAGTGTGCCAACAGTTGAGATGTACACTTTGCATGCACTATTCTGTTTGATCCTCACAGTTGATCTCTGAGGTCTTCATATTTGCCTGAGGCGATAGAGTTGTAAGGATCAGAATTACAGTTAGAGTCTTATCTGTTTATAACTTTTTTCCAAATTGTCAAGCTTATACCTGTAGATATAAATAGTATAAAGTAATGCTTTTCCACATTTTGTTATGTGCAATTATTTATAAACTTTCTTGTACATTTCCTGTAATGTGAATAAGTATATAAACCCTAATTTTAATTGATTTATATATAATATTTTAGGATGACCATTATCTTTCTGCCATACCACACTGTGCCCTTTCATGCCCTGTCTCTTAAGTAAACAGTACAAGTATACATACTACAGCTGACACTGAGAAGAATAGGAACCACAGAACACTTGATTGTGCTTATGTGAAACCTATATTTGCATCAGGAGGCAGTCGTCAGAACAGAACAAGGAAACACTGCATGGTTCAAAGTCCAGAAAGGTGTGCACCAAGGATGCATCCTATCTCCATACCTTTTCAATCTGTATATGGAATAGATCATTCAGGATGCTGGGATCTATGAAGGGAAATGTGGCATTAGGATTGGAGGAAGATTCATCAACACCCTGCATTATGCAGATGTCACAACCTTGCTTGCTGAAACTGAGGAGGATCTGAAGCATTTCCTGCAGAAGGTCAAGAAGTAAAGCCTTTAATATGGATTGAAGCTCAACATCAAGAAGACAAGTATTCTTACAACTGGACCAATTGGTAGCTTCATGATAGATGGTGAAGAGATTGAGATTGTTAACAGTTTTAGTTTGCTTGGCTTCAAAATCCACACTCTTAGTACCAGCACCTAGGAAATCAAAAGACGAATTGCATTGGGAAAATCTATTGTCAGGGACCTCTCTAGAGTACTAAAGAGCAGTGATGTCACTCTGGAGACTAAGGTGCACCTGATCCAAGCCATGGTCTTTGCATTTATTTGCTATGCTTCAAAAAGCTGGACAATGACTAAGAATGATAGAAGGAGAATTGATGACTGTGAGTTGTGGTGCTGGAGAAAAGTATTGAATACACCATGGACTGCTAGGAGAACAAACAAGTTCATCCTGGAGAGTATGAAACCAGGCTGTTCCTTGGAGACAAAGATTCTGCTCCATCTCCCATACTTTGGGCATATTGCCAGGAGGGACCAGTTCTTGGAAAGTGACATCATACTTGGAAGGATGGAGGGGACAGCACAAGAGAGGAAGACCCTTGATGAGATGAATTGACTCAGTGTCTGGGCCAATGGGATATGTATGTCAGAAACAGTGAGGTTGGCTTAGGACAGAGCAGGGTGCAGAACCGTTATTCATGGGGTCGGTATGAGTAGCAGGCGCTATGAGACACATAACAGCAATAGAGAGAGTGTGTGAGTGCAGGCATGCACGCTAAGTGCATACATGTGATTCAATGTCTCAAGAAGTATATGCTGACTTTGTAATAAGATTAGAAAGGAGAGATGGTACTATACATTGGCCTTCTTGGATAATTGCTAATGATAAATGGTGGACTTCAAAAACTTGCAAGGAAAAAAAAATTTTAAAAACCCACCAAAAACTTGCAAGGACACAGATTTATTTAATTGATAGAGAAAATAAGAAATTATGGCATTTCCCAGTCATGATATAGTTTAAGATACTTGTGTGTGTGAAAAGAGAGAGAAAGATAGTTGGTTGAATGAGAAGGAAGAGAGAGGGGAAATATGATAGATAATCTTAAAGGCATTTGAAAATGAGATTGGTAAACATTGGTAAGTCCAGGTTAGTTTATCTTAGATAACTTGTAGTAGTAAAGTGTCAGGATATTTTAAATAAAACTCTAAGGCTAGGGCCAGGGCCTCTTCCTGTTCTGCGTTATAAAATATAATCAAGCGTGTCCTCATGCTCTATTTGTGCAGAATAAATATTCTACTGTTATATAAAAATGAGAATTGCCTTTTGTTTTCCTGCTTTCTCTGAGAACAAGAAAGTAACTGGGTTTGATTATTATTGCTAGATATTCGGAGAAGCTATCTGGTTGAAAGGCTACCAAAATTAAATGGTTTACTTCATAAGTATAATGCTTTATTATTTAAGTATCTATAAAATTGCAAATGTCTTATATACCTTTATCTTGGGAAATAATTACTGCTGTGTTAGAGAACAAGAGGCGGGATTAAGCAGAATTAACATATTTGATCCCATGTTTTATGTGTGGTTTATCTGTTCATTTAGGTACCTAGAGGCTTACCTTATTTCTCAGTGGATTTTGGTCTCCAAGGAGGGTTTGCCCATGTCATTGAAGATCAGCACAAATTCCCTCATTACTTTGGAAAGGTATGCTGGCAATTTGATAAAACTCCATTGTTTAGCAATTTAATAGCATCTTTCTTCTCCATTGCAGTTTACAGTCTTGAAAACGTAAAGGAGGGTTGGTCTGGTAGGTGTGTTAACAGGCAGCAGGGTGGATAAACGACTCTACAGGAGACATAGCAAGATACCTAGAGTTTAGAGCTTGAAAAGAAGATGCTTTTTTAAAAACATGTAAAAATTATTATTTGTGTATTTACTATGTTTAGTAGCAGAATAGAAATAGATTTGTTCTCTTTTCATTTTATATGCACATGCTCTGTGTTTTCCTCATTCCTTTCTAGGAAATCATTGGTGGGATGCTGGATATAGAACCACGACTTTGGAGGAAAGGACTCCGAGAAAGCTTTGAAGATCAGAGGAAGAAAGCACTAGAGTTTGCCCAGTGGTGGAAGCCGTATGACTTCACCAAAAGTAAAAACTGTTGAGACTCACCTTTCTTTTTTTAATTCCTCTTTGCATTCCTTTCACTTTTATTTCTGTTGCATCTCAGTAAGCAGCTGGCCATTAGGGCATAGGGAAGACTTGTGCAGAAGACAGCCAGGACACTGAGAAGTGTATATCATCAGATTGTGTGGTTTCTTCTGCTAGTTGCTCCCAGGAACTTCAGCGACCATGCAGTAAGACGAGGTGTGTTTGATGGTCCACCGATACTCATGGTCACCTACTATTAAGTGTTCTGAGCTGTCCAGTCAATCACAGAAAAAGATTTCTCTGAAGAGACATGTGGGAAACATAGGAAATCACTGCTTCATGTTTGTTAAGACTATTGACTCTCTCCTTTTGTATTTTTTAGAGCAAGACTGGGGATATTCAGTAATAATTGATATTCTTTCCATTGTCAATCTATCTCATTAGGGTCTTCCTCTCTTTGACCCTTCACTCTTCCTACATGATGTATATTATTAAGGGCTGGCCCTTCCGAACATTATGCCCAAACTATGTGAAATGAAATTTCACAATCATTGCCTCTGAAGAACACCCTTATTGGAAGACTTGTTTGTTCTTTCACAGTCTCTATTATATTTAATACTCCTGTACAATACCACAGACAGGCATCAGTTCTTCTTTCATCATCCCTGTTCATTGTCCTGCTTTCAGATGCATGGGAAATAATTTAAAAGACTGGGAATTGGACAAAGAACACTTTAGTCTTTTCACAGCTATTCTCTTTTGAGGAGAAAAGAAGGAAAAACAATGCCCCTAAAGTAATGAGAAATCAAATAATTATAATATTATAACCCATATTAATAATTACTATTTGTTTTTATTCCTGTATTTTCTGTTAACAGTGTCCCTTATTATTTGTGTCTTTGAAATTTGATGATTTAAAAAGTGTTCCATATAACACCATTTATTGTTTTGTGTTTATATGAAAATTAAAAATTTTACCCAAGTCACGGTTTACCTTTTGTATTGACTGATATCATAAGTGAAAGCATTCAAGTATTAGGAGCACATTCTGTTGTCCCACTTCATTGACAGCACTTGACTTTTCATTTTTCTCACAGTTAGCATCAGTCTAATATACTTGTAAGATACAGCTTTGATGTAACATGATACGGTGCAACGTGAGAGTTAAATTGACTGGGATGGTTACGGCTTTGTGCCAACTTGACTAGACCATGATTCTCAATGGTTTGCCCACCTTCATCTCTTCATTCTCAGCTGTTTGTTTCCTTTTTGATGAGAAAAATAACAGCAAACAGAGGAGAATTTCTACCATATCTATTGACCTGCATTTGAACCATTATTGTCTTTATAATAAGGCCACTCATTATGTCCTGGACCTTATCCTTACTCACTTACTAAATTGTTCTTATTCTCTATTATTAGTTTTTCCTCCCTCTACAGGATCATTGCTGTTAGTATCAAACAAACAAAAGCAATAATATAACTTGATTCTTCAAATAACAAACCTTGACATTCAATTCCCATCTAGCTACTTCACCATTTGACAACAAAACTCATAAAAAAAAATTCTCTTTCTTCTCCCATTCTGAGTATTCACAGTACAGCTAGTCTTTATCCTCTGTATCCACTGTTCTCTTAGAATTGTTCAGTCAAGGTCTTTAGTGACCTTCCACATGGATAAACCAGTGATTAATTTTTGTGGTCTTCCTCTGCTTCTCAGCATTACTGATGATATACTTGGTAGCATCACCTTCTTGAAATACTTTATTTTTGACCACTTTCTTTTATTTATCCATCTTACTTACTTGCCACACCTTCTGTCTCCTTTTCTGATCTTGTAATTTATTCAACCTTTAAGTGTTGAAATGTCTATTCTCAAACTCATCTATCCTGCACTCATTTCCAGGGTATTCTCATTAATCTTAATTACAATTGTGCGCTGGTTTATTCAGCCTATATTTGAATTATCTACTGTGTGTCAGTCACTATACTAGGTACATGGGAAATATTTAGGGAATAATAAAAAAATTGCTGTTTTTGAAGACTTCTATCGTGTCAGTGAAAGAGAGACAATAAATGTTAGACAAAATAGTCTAATGTCAACTGATAATAAGTACAATTGAAAAGGAAAAATAGAACATATCAAGAGGATATTTCCCAAGTTTGTGTCTTCACTGTGACCTCTTCCCTTAACTTCGTATATCTAAATAAAAACTTGACATCTCTACTTAGATATCTAATAGGCATCAGTCCTAAAGATCTTCAAATGGTATCGATCGGTGTTGCCACAAGTTTCTGCAGGGTACATTCCTATTTTCCCTGTAAAAGAAATTCTGTGTCTAGAAACTCAAATCTGCAATTGAAGAGGGTATTTGAGGATTAGCAGAGGAATTACCAAAGGAACCACTGAGGCCAAGAGACAGTAAATAAAATTTAGGCAGTGTCTTCAGATGCTATACAGTGGTGTTCTCAGGACCATGACTGAGCTTTTCAAGTAATTTCTGCTAGTAGAACAGAAGCATCCCAATAGACTAGTTAACAGTGATGTCTCACGAAGCCATGCCCTTTCAAAACAAAGAACCAAGTACTATGTTGTTTTGGGTTGCACAGTAGCAACTTCAGTAGCATCTTTAAAAAAATATTTTTATTATTGTAAATATATCCTAAGTATTTTTCACAACTTTTACAAATTCAACTTGTTAATAGGGGTAAAACTTGGCAGCAATTACAACAATCAGCTTGACAGCCCTATCTTTAAAGTGATTTTTCTGTCTCTGAAAGTCCCATCCTTCCTGGTCCTGGTAACTGCTGATAAAACTTTGATCTCTTTGCTTCTATTTTTTTTTCTTGTCTTTATTATAAGTCACATCATAACAATACTTGCCTCTTTGTGATTGACTTATTTCAGTTTGCAGAATACCTTCCAGTTCTACCGATAAAAACTTAGAAGTGGCTGTTTAAGGCCAGAAGTTGGTCTCTGTTCACCTGGATCAAGAGTAGGAGAGTCAGGAATAGGAGTAGAAATTGGAATGTGTGACTAATAACCTCCATGAACCTTGCCTCCTTTGTCAGGAGAGCAGAAGAACTGGATGGTTTTCTGGCTAACAGAATGTTATGTTTAATGAACATTTTTTTAAAGAGTCTAGAAGAATCCTGGCCAATGGGAAAAACACAGAATGGAATTTCTAATTCTCATGGACTTTTATACTTCTTAGGACCATGAAAGTTTGATGAAATTATTCCCCTGAGATCATCTTTAAATCTTAAACCAAAAATGCTCCCTGAAGTCTTCCTAAAATTGCACAGGTTAGCTTAAGTAGTGATGGGAAAAGTCTTTCTTGAGCATTACACTTTTTTAAGAACTATGTGGGATCAATATGACAGAAGCAACTTCAAAGATGTATAGGAACCTTAGGAGGCAGTGAATTTGTATTACTGGATAATGAACTACAACTCAAAAGGAGGATGAGAGTGCTTGCACAACTCAGAAAGTAATCCTTACCACTGAATTATACATGTAGAAACTGGAATTGGTGGTGTAATGTTAGGATTTTTTTGTTTTTCTATCCATTACCTTAGACTTGACCACACAACCAGATGGAGCCATGTAAGTAAAATGAATTTTTGAGGCTCCAGCCTCCACTCTTAACTCTTCTGGGGATGTGGTCTCCAGCTGCTTCATCTCTGGACATGACACATGGTTGGCTGTTGATCAGCGTCTCCAACATCCTTAACAGCTGTGGGACCAACATAAGCAAGTGAGCTAACCAGACTTTAGAGTCATAGTGTGGTAAGGAATAGCCTGACAGAGCCCCAGAGGCAGAGCCAAAGCCAGAATTAAAGGTTCTGCTTGCTGGACAATTAATGGAAGAGCTGACTTAAGACTGCTATGAGACAAAGCTTGTATGTTTTCAGTGACAATATTTTGCTGATATTCTTGTAACTTTTGGAACAAACATTATTGGTATGGGAATCTTAAATATTTAAAAATATAAACTGTTAATTCCTCTATTAACCTGTTAAATACTCTAAATGTAATTTAATATTGTTGTTGTTATGTGCCATCAAGTAGCTTGTGATTCATAGCGACCCTATGTACAAGAGCTCTATACCCTCTTCTATCCTGTGCCAACCTATCCATCTCAAACGCACTTATTCCCACCTCTCTAGTCACCGAATCGATCCATCTCATCAGAGGTCTTCCTCTCCTTCACTGCTCCTCCACTCTGCCAAACATGGTGTCCCTCTCCAAGGACCAGTCCTTCCTTGCAACATGCCCAAAATATGTCAGATGAAGCTTCAGAATACTTGACTCCAGGGAACATTCTGGCTTCACCCTCTCCAGGACAAACCTGTTTGTTCTCCTAGCAGTCCATGTATTCAACACTCTTCTCCAGCACCACAGCTCAAAGGCATCAATTCTCTTTCTATCATCCCTATTCACTGTCCAACTCTCTGATGCATAGCATGTAATTGTGAAGACTGTAGCCCAGATCAGGCGCACCTTAGTCTCCAGCCTGACGTCTCTGCACTTCAGTGCTCTTGAGAGGGCCCTCACAGCCGACTTTCCCGATGCAATTTGTCTCCTGATTTCCTGGCTGCTGTTACCAAGAGTGTTGACCGTGGAGCCAAGTAAACTAAAACTGTTAACTATCTCAATCTCTTCACCATCCATACTGATGCTGCCAGTTGGCCCAGTGGTTAGAATCTTTGTTTTCTTGATGTTGAGCTTCAGTCCATATAGGAGGCTGTAGTCCTTGATCTTCTGCAGCAATAATCACTTGGGTACTTAATTTCATATTAAGCATAAATCACTTAATTTTTCTTTTCACTTTAAAGTTCCTTGATTAAGAACATCTGTATTGGCATGCAGACTTGGACTTTAGCTACTCTATATAGCAAATACTATGATAAATAATTTATCATTGCACAGCACTTTATGAAATGAGTTTATAACTTTATATTAGTAAATATCCTGGATTGTACACTTTAATTACACACACACACACACACA